AACTTAATTATTTACAGATTTAGCCTCCTGATTAGATTGTACATTTATGTACAGAAAAGCATGCCCTGTCCGACGTAGTTATCCGTTGTTAATTGTCTGTTGTAGTATCTTCACACTTATTGCCAAGAAAATTAAATATTATTAAAGGCACTGCAAAAAGCACTATGATGCTTAAAGTGAACAGTTGTCTATTCTGAACAATGCATACATCTTCCCATAAGTTGCCACTAAATTTCATGCACATTACTACAAAGCAGTTTAAAAACTTTATCAGTAGTGCCTTCTGTACATCAAGTGTCAAATTAATTGTAGACTGTTCCTTTATTCTTATCATATTTCTTTGCATAAGCCTGTGTTTGTTCTCCACATTGATACAGAACTACAGCCTTTTAAACCAAGTACGATGCAAACAGGCAAGATACGCTCTAGCTGTATCTGTTTGCTAAAAAACTCTATGGGACATTCCATTGTGGACACTCAGGAACAGCTCAAATTCTGCTTTTATTAAAGAAATGACAGTTTGACTCAACACATCTAAATCAATTTGGATTTCAAAGGTGTAAGAAAAAAAATCTGGCTTCAAGCTATCACATTTTATTGTAACTACTGGTCAGAAAGTGAGTTTTACATATATTGGTATATATCCTAAACTCTGAAACTCAATATATATTCTGCTACATAATGTGAAAATCAACAATGTTGTGACAGTCATGGGTTGGCGAATGTTATAAACAAAAGGGCATCTTTTCTGGTCAAGGAGAGGTAAGAGGAGTCATATCTTCCCCTACTCTGCCTACTCCTTAAAGGGGATTAACTAAGGTAGTATAAAACATCTCTGACAGCTTAATGTCTGATCTCAAAATCCTCTGAATCAGCACATAGTTTTAAAGGAATATCCTTTCCTATGCACTTGCCCTGGCAGAGTTAGAATTTAGCTGAAAGTTTCTAGGAAAGATTGTTAAGCCTAACAGGGAGGTTATTTCTTAACCTCCACTGTCTACTGATAAAAGTTCTCTCTTCAGAATAGTAACAGCCATGCACAATATCTACAAATGCACATACCTTTCTTTAGTGGCTCTTTCCTTATTCTAGCTCAATTTCCTGATTCCTAGCCACGATACCTCAGAGGGCTGCAACTGTACTCTAGATGTTCCTGAAAAACAAGGCTGGAGCAAACCTTCTGCTGTTTGCATTAATGAATATGTTTTGGCTTTCATTTTCAGTACTTTGAATAGCAAAATAACATGAAAAAAAAATTGTGTGGCTGTGCTATACATACACAAAACATTGGTATGTAAGCAACACATCATAAATGATGGCATTTCTAACACTGCCTTTTGTTTCTTCCTGTCATCCAGAAAATTCTCTGACTAAACAAGTGTACTGGTGTAATTTCCCTGGCTCGTGTGCCATGCAAAGCAGATACAGTTATAAAACTCTAGCTCCACTAAAGCTTGGCTTTTTGCCAAACTCAATAACTGAAATCAATGGTAAAATGCACAGGGTGCCAATAAGCAGTGCTGAGTAGGAGGGATGAGCTCTCTATCTTCTGCCTTAGGTAAAACCTTATTTTTCAGGCAATGGCTTATAATCACCCTTCCCTGAAATTAGAGGTAAAACTAAGAGTATAAAATCTTATTCTGCACTTCCCCCTGCCACCCTCTGCATCCTGTCTTTATTGATTAAAGAAATATTCATTATTTTTCAAATTGTTTTTTTAAGTGTTGGCTTCTGGGGCTTTAAAAATCAATGCACTTGTTGCAAGTACTGGATGCAAAGTTGCTCCTGAATTTATCTGCGAAGTGTACCATGGTTGTGTTTCCAATTTCTGGAAGTTCTTCATTTCCATGGCATAAATAAGTATGTTATCATTTGGCTGCCTTGAGATGTGCCTGCAAAGTGGAAGAGCATAAGCAGGAGAGACACACTCGAAGAACAAGAACTATCTGTTAAATGTTACATTTAACTGTGTTGTGAACAAAACAATTCAGATGTTTGAGAAAGTTGCAATGAGCATTTTAACTCAGGTGAGTAATAACGGGGCTTGATCTGATGGACCATGATACCCCTCCCTAAGCTCTGGGATGCTGCCTTCTAACCCAGGCAATGAAGTAGCATTTTCATTTTTTCATCCTTTCAAAAAAGAGCTTGAGCTTAATTATCAAGACAGATGCTGCTTTTTTTGCCTTGAGAAGGACGATTTAAACTCCTTAGCCCAAGGCTTGCGAAAGTGACTAGTGATTTTGAGAACCCTCTCTAAACTACAGAAAGAGTAAGCACATGCCTGCAGGAGGAATTCAGGTTCTCTTAAAGACAACAGAGTGACACTGCAAACTGAAGTTCCAGCAAAGGAAGCATCCAAAATGTGGAGTGACCGGAAACTCTTGGTCTCTTTTACAGTACTTCTAATCAATGCGGTTAATTGTGGTACATAGAAAATAGAGCTGAACTCTGGATCTGCTTGCTACAGGATATTCTGAAATCTAGATGTTTATGTGGAATTAATTTTTATTTGGGAAAAAAACATAGGAGAAAAATACAAGAGGGCTCCTAAGCCAAAATGTTCTGTCTTGGGAAATATCTGACCTGCAGATTATGGGAAGTTGGGTGAGTAGCACAGTACCATTATGTTTGGTCCACTCTCTTTGTCTTGCCTAGATTTTTGGTCACCATTGGAGACAGCATGCATGAAACTGGTTTTTGGTCTGATTTAGTACATCTGCTCCTGTATCCTTGCATTACACTAATGGTACATTTAGACAAAGATTAATCCTAATTAATTTTACTTACCTATGATTTAGTAGTGCTGGTAACACAAGTCCTTAAAATAGAAGTTAATATAAGAAGATATTTTCTCCTGTACTATGCTTATGTTTTGAATTAACATGGACCTTTCAGCTGTCTCAGTAATCATAAGAAATAAGAGAGCTGTTTCATGGATGATGAAGTGAGGAACTGAGATGATGAACTGTCAGCATCAAACATAATACAGGATAGAGTTGAATGACCCTTCAAGAATGGCTCAGGTATGAAGCCTACAATCCAAAGGAAAGCTGGACTCTATCCAGTGCTACTTTACTTTTCAAAATTATTGAAATCTGAGAAAGAGAAGAACCACAAGAAGAAACCTCAGAAAAGAACGTATATAAATGGAAAGTACTCCCGTTCTTCAATCCATGCTCTCCATTGGCATCAACATTTGTCTCAGCAGTTAAATCACACGACCTAGACATCTCGGAAACTAGACATCTTTAAGGAAATGTAAACCTTCTGTTTCTGAAGATTAGCTTTCCACTTTTTCATGTACCTACAAAATATCGTGGATTTTGTTTTTAGAGAATTTGTACTGTTATCCAGAACTTCTTTCTGTAGTGCTAGCATAAAGAAAAAAGAAGAAGAAAAAAAAAGAACAAACAAGAAAAAACAAACAAACTGATTTTATCTTTTGTGAGAAAGAAACTAAAGGGACAAACCAGCTAAGATCCTGATCAGAAGCACTTGTTCTTTGGCACTACTGCAGGTGCCAGCCACTCCCAACTGTGGCACCAGGAGAGAGGCAGTGATGACATCTTCCTGTCTTTTCCTGCCAGCAATCTTTGTGGTAGTTGGAATGAACAGTGTGTACAGTGCATCCACTACCTGCTGGGAAGCTCTGTGACAGGATGAGTCATATTAACTATCCTGTGAATCACCTGACAAGACTGATAGTCTGCACCACACCCTGATCTAGAGCTGCATCTTCAAAGAACAATCAAGTCCTTCATTTGCAGAAATGCCACCCATACAGAGAAACAAAATTTTACAAAAATTCTGGTCTGAAAGCCTGGTATGCTCTGACTAATTATCTCTAAATCTCTTGGTACTCTTGGGGTGTGGAAGACAACACACTGCTCATATATGTTCTACCTGGTTCTTTTATAAATCAGATTCTAGTAATTTAATAGCAGTAAATAAGATAACAATACTATGATTCCAGAATCTGATCTTTCAGGATCTCTGCTTCCATCATTGCCACCAAATGTAAAAAATACATGTACGCAAACATGTGAAACTGCAAATAGTTTTGCTATAAATCTGAGGCACAGGTGTTCTTAGGAAATCGTATACAGAGGAAAATAACAGCTGATAGTCAGTTTTATATTATTACATAACTATTTTTTAATAATATGGACTTGACTCTAGAAGATCTTTCCTCAAGTGAAGATTCTAGTAGAGATATTCTTTCAAACATGTAACTGAGATTGCAAAGCTGGTGCCACTTGTGCTTAACCAGGCAAGCAAGGGCTTGATAAACTGAATTTGCTCAACCACTTCATCTGCATGTTTAATGTTTTCACAGGTAGATCACTTAATGAAAAATACCTCCCGAGCTTTCACAGGAAATGCAACTGCTGACACAGATTCTGTCCCCTGACATCTGCAATTACATCATAGGTAAGACTATCTCTAACATCAAGAAAGCCTTCCAACAAACAATCTGCTCCCAGTGTAAGAAGTAGGGGTGGAATATAAGGCATCATAACAGAATGTATTAAAAGTGTGAGAAAATAACTTCAAAGTTTCATTCTAATTCAGAAAGATGGGCTATAGGTGGGACTGTACATATTTATATGGTATCATAATCTAGAGGCATATTTCTCTCATTAGTCACTTAATCTCTGTACAGTAGTTTGAAGATACGGAGTGTTATGTAAGTGCTAGGTATATGACTGATCAAGTTACTAGAAACTGATCAAATCTGCTACAGAGAATGAAATACTCTTTTGATTATCTTAAGAAACAGAAAAACCTCTTAGCCATGAAGGCAAAGCTGGCATGTTGAACTCAAGGTCATTACAAGTGTTGCAACTATATCTTCACTTTGATGCTGGGACAGAACTGAAAGCAAAGTAGTGAACCAACAAAGCATGATACTGTGCTGAGCAAACTGAAGTGCTGAATTACTCAGCACATCATCATTCTTTTATTGTTATTTTACTACTTGGTTAACTTTTCCTTACCTGAAAGTCAGAAGCCCAAGTGCCTCCAGAGGGTTAGAAAATATCCATGTTCTCAACATGGCATACATTTCAGATATAGTCGTTCGATCCCAGCTGGGTGCACTGCCCAGTATCAGAGGAAGGGAGCAATTTTGATTATTGCAATAGTAACGACAAAACCATAATATTCTTTTCTGCTGTTCTGAGAGTCTGGAAGAGAAGATTAGAAATTCAGTTGGAAATTAAAAACACCTGGAGCTTTGTGTAGCAACAAACTTTATCGTTCAGAGAAGCCAAGTAATACAGTACACTGCTTTTCAGCTGTGTCTGTGTTTTCCTTCAGGTAGGCTATAATTTTCTGCAGACCAGCTTTTATAAGAAAGTGATGCTTATACTCTGGATCTGTCAGCCTTGGGTCATATAAAAATGAAGTGTCAAAAGGTACACATATATGGTTATTTCACTTCTCAAGCACTCTCATTTTTCTTCTCCATCATCTCTGTTGTTGGTAGTGTTTGTTTTTACTGCTTTTTTTGTGACAAAGAAGGTGCAGTTATCATGGGATAAATTACTGTTACATTCATCTGCTGCACATCAACTCTAATTAACCAATGTAACAACTAGGTGTGCAACACTGCTAGCCATAGCTTACATTCATGTCCTTGCTTTCATTGTCTAATGAAAGTGTGCCTATTTTTAGTGTATCTAAACAGAATTTAGGCACATGCATACAATATACATAAGAACATGAGTACATGTGCATGCAGACAGTGTGATTTTCCCTAGCACTGGTACAAGTTTGGAAAAGGGAAGGAAAACTCCCAGCAACTGCTAGGTCTTTTCATAGGAATTAGCATGCCACACTTCACTGTACACAAAGGATACAACAGCAAAATCCTCATAGAGATATTAGATATCTAACTGACATAATGGTCTGTTATCACACAATATTTCACCACAGTGAGAAATACCTCAGAATAATTTTTGTTATATATGCTCTAATACGTCAATAATTCAGAGGTCTTTGCCTCATGAATATTAAATCCAAAGTTTTGGTACTATCTGAAAACAGAAAGAGTAAATCCCCATGAGAGACAAACTCAGGCAGTCTCCTTAATTTTACACCATGGCCTTCAAAAGCAAGCTCTGAGAGTGTAAACTGATCTCCACTTCACACAAACCATTACTGAAACAAAGAGGAACATTGGTTTTCTTGGTCATACTTGGCCAGATAGGTGATCCATCTACTTAACATAATGAAACTGCCTTTAAGACTACCTAGATATTTCAGAGTAAGGTGTAAGAAACCTTGTATAAGGCAGTAAATAAAGAGATCAGCTCCAGTCAAGCATTTCATTATCCAGATTCATAAGCAGGGCTCAAAATCAAATGTTTGCATTCCTGACAAGGTCTTTTTCCTTCTACTTGCAATGTTTTGGGACAGGCTAAGCCAAAAAACTGTAATAGCCCTGCTCTTTCACATGCCATAGCAATGAGTCCCTTTGCCTCCATTACACTGGAGAAATTTTCTTCTTTGCAATTTCGAATAGCCAAGCACTGAGTGACAAAGAGTGATGGTACAAATATGGGCATGTGTTTTACTGTCACAAAAGTGCACGTTTATTTCTTCCCTTTAGGAAAATAAGCTCATGAAAGTATGCAGGAGATTAATCTGTGATACAAATTCTGTCATGGTGTTTAGTGATCATTTTAAAAAAAAGTACCATTATGGTAACAATTTCAAGAAACAGCTTCAGAATTCACATCATGTCTATTTGTGACAATAGATAGATGTCTTTGTATTTGTGTGTCTAAGTCACACATAGAAAAACAGATAAAAGTAGGCCTAAGACTTTATTACCTGGTTTTCTTATGCATTCAGATGGCATTCTGCAGGACAGTTCAGCTAAAGGACCCCTTTTATATGTTGACTTTAAACAGACATTTAAGCTTTCAAACAGCATCCTCCAAACCAGAAAATCTGTTGTTCAGATTAAAGCAGCTAAAGCCTCTACTGAGTTTACAAAACCAGATAAGAAATCAGTCCTTGTATGAGGTTTTTTAAGTAACAGATTTCTTTCTCTGACTTCACTCCAGAGGAAATGCCATTTTCTCTTCAATGTTTTAAAGATCAGAAATGAAATTAAAGGTTAGGCAGCGGTTTTTCAGGTTTTGATTTGAAGTTTCTTAGTTGTAACAAAAATTTACATATACATATAACAAGACATTTAAGACAGGTGGTAAAGTATGATATAGCATCTGAAGATTGTTATGCCTATCTGGACATTTATTTGGCTCAATAGAGATAAGATGCTAATAAACAATCTTTACTGATAAATATGTAGTTGATTTTTCTTGTTGTTTGTTGGGGGTTTTTGTTGGTTTTTTGTTGTTGTTGGATTGTTTTTGTTTTTTGTAACAGCTGTATTAAAAATACATAGCCTTCTGCTCAACAGAAATAAAAATAAATATCTTAAAGCCTAAATAATTCAGTACTGTCTAGTTTAAAAGTTTTCATTAATCCCTTTCGCTAAATGAAGGAAACTGCTTCTGTGAAAACTTCATTAGTTCGTCTTAATAATTAGTATTTTTGTGGAGGGAATGGCAAAAATAAGTTCAAATGCTTCTGATCTGTTTTTCCCATGTTCAGTACTAAAGCAGAACAAGAAAAAGGGAAACAGAGGAAAGAGCAGCAAAGCTAGCAAATGCAAATTTCTGTCCCCTGGCACTCATTCTCACTTGCAAGTTTCTCTCCCATGGACAGACTAGCAAAGCATGCAGCATCACCACACTTTTTTAAACCTGATCCACTATTCATCCAACTGGAAGTGACCTTTCTCATCACAATTCATCATGATTTTATAAAACTTAATCTTGCATACACAAATCCTCTAGTATTCTCTCCAAACTAAGGAGTCACAGCCTTTTTGCTTCTCTTGGTTAAGCAGCTGCTTAATCCCTTTAATCATTTTGGTTGCCCTTCTCTGTACATTTCCCAGATCTCCTGTGACTTTCTCAAATTGTGAAGACAAGAGCTATGCAGGATAGTCAACATACAGCATGTCAGGGTTTTAGACAGCAAGGAAATGGCACACACTGGCTTCCTGTTTGCACCCTTCCTGACTATGCCCAATACTTTGTTGGCACTTTTGGCTGCTGCTGTTTGTTGTAGACATGAACTCAGGGAAAGGCAAGCAGTAACGTCAAGACCTATTGTAACTGCCAGTTCTGATTTCAGTTTCCTGTAAAGATGCCTAGATAATTTTTCCTTAATCATGTCCTCCTAAATATACCCACACTGAAGCTCATCTAGCATGTTTATGCCCACTTTTGTAAGGTTCTTCTCGATCTCCCCTCTATGCCATGATGTTTGACAATCTGGCAGAGCTCAGTGCCATTTGCAAACCTGGAGATTTTCCTGTCTACTTCCTTCTGCATGTCATTGATGAAGACACTGAATGAAACAAGTCCCAACCATGAGAACTGAAAGACCCTGACTTTTCATTCTGTCACAAATAAACAACCAATTGTTGCCTTTAACCAGTTTTTATCTAAACCTGTGGTAACTTCAATTCTTCAACAATCTGATGTGGAACCTCAGCAAAGAGTTTTGAACATCCACCAAATCCCCAGTGTCCCTGCACTCACTGCCAATATTTCAGCACAGCAACAGTTTGGTGAGGGAGGGTTTCTAATCACAAAAGCCACACTTTCTTTGGAAATTACTCTGTACTTGGATAAATGCTTACAGATCTTATTCCTTCTTAAAGAACCCACCATTTTACCAAGAATAGAGGTCAGATATATTCGCTGGAAGTTCCCCTAATCACTTCTGAAGCATCTTTTTCAGGTGAAAATTTTACTGGCAACTTGCCAGGGCCCAGCGGCTATTCAAAATAAAATACGAACCTCCCATTTGTGCTGAAAAATAAAAAAGAACAAAATCCCAGGTCCCAGGTTTAATAAAAATAATTTTAAGTTTCATCCTGTCTTCCTGAAAATTGAATACACCAGCAACTTTGTCTCTTGTCTTTTGTTTCAAGAATTTTTTTTTAAAAACCCCTCAAACAACCAACAACAGAAACCAGCACAGACAAGTCAACTTAACAGATGCATCATAGTACACTGAAAGGGCTGAACTGGCTTTAAGTTATTTAGTTATTGTACAACTAATGCACCTTTTGGCCTTTGATGGAGGATTAATTCATGCAATTAACTGTGATTGGAATAATGGCTCTCTGTAAGCACCTGTGTTCCCAATTGCACTCTGATTATATCTAAAATTATTTTATATAGTACATAACCCAAACTGATTGTGTAAAATACATCTAGCTCAGCATACTAAACTGCCTCAGTATCTACAGTGTGCTTTTGTTCACTTTGTTTTTATCCACCTTCTGTAAAAGCTGAACTTTCCATACTTCTTTCCTTGCTTATAACTTGACAGAGATTGTTTGACTGATTATTTGCCATTTAACTACTACAGCTGAGGTCTGAGTGTATTATTATGAAAAGAGGCTGATCTTCATAGAACCCAAAGGTTTTCTTGCTAATACTGATGCAGATTTACTGCATCACCTGAAAATTGTATGATTAGAAAGACAAATCAGTTTCTGCCCAGGGAGGTTGTGGAGTCTCCTTCATTGGAGACATTCAAAGCCTGCCTGGACAAGTTCCTGTGTGATGTACTCTAGGTGGTCCTGCTCTGGCAGGGGGGTTGGTCTAGATGATCTTTTGAGGTCTCTTCCAACCCCTAAGATTCTGTGATTCTTGTTTCAAAGACACAAAAAGACAGAGTAACAGAACGGGAAAAACAATCCTTTTCTAAACTGATACAATACACTGTCAGCTCCAGGGGCTTATTTAGGCTTTTCTGTGATCTGTTCTCTTACCTGGCCATTACTTCTCAAATCAATTTAGTGAGGCTGCTTCAAAGGAAAATTTTGGTTTTAAAGAACTAGATACATTTAATTGTGATCAATAGGACAGGTATAGCGAGCCAAGAATCAGCAGGTCTAGCTGTGAACAACTTACAGCAAGAGAGAATGTGTCTGTGAAAGTTTTGTAATATGCTTCAGGCACTCTTTGGTTGCTTCTTCAAGATCACCTCTTCTTTCTTGAGGTTCGGGTTTAATGAAGTCCAAATTAGTTTCTGGAAAGTCAACCTTTTTTTAAAAAAAACAACACAACAAAAGAATGAAAAAAATAATAACCCCCCCTCCAAAAATGACAGACAAACAAAGAATTCCATTTAGCAATATCTGTTCTGAGATACAATTGTCAATAAATGTTACCTTGGATTTATGCAGGAAGCATACAAAATATGAGATAAAGAAGAGGGAATAATTATTTTGAGGATGTTCACTGTATGTAATATATTACTTAAATATGTTGGTGATAAACTCAGGCCACAAAAATCAGTGGGAGCTTTGTCACTGACTTTTCTGGTAGAGTTTCATCCAATGGATTTCTGTTTTCAAAGTTGAAGTGTTGGGTTTTTTTTTCCTTTTTTCTCCTTTTCTGATTTCAAATGATATAGTTCTTAAATGGCAAGTTTCTATTTATGCAAATTTTAAAAATATTTCTTTCTTCTGAAAAAGTAGGGATAATTCTGATGTGGAGTTCGCCAGTGTAAGAAATGGACATCAGATCCCTGATTTCACTTCAGGATGTTAAATTTCATTTATACTTTACAGTGTCTACATAGTTTTCATTATTTACACTCGTTATGGGTGTCAGAAAATTAAAACAATGTTTTTAATATACAGACAAAGAAAATATACAACCACAATTATGAAGCTTGAGGTGCCTGACAATCTGACTTAGTTGAAAATCGAAGTTGTTCTTCAATTAATACATTCCATTTTGGTTTATTAATGTACACCATAATCTCTTATCTATATCTATTTTTTAAAAAGATATGTATTTGATATGCATCACTCTTCTAAAGATTAACAAAATTATTCCCTACTAAATGCATATTGTCAATCAAAAAAGCTATCTTTGTGACATTTCCAGCTTGTTCACAAATTGTGACACTGTCATATGCATAAGAATATCTGAAAATGAGGTGTGGGGAGAGATACTCATGTTTCATTTCTTTCAGCAGAGAGAGATTATAAATTAATAGCCATTTATTGTCTCAACCTCCTTTTATTATTAATAGGAGGAGCTATTTTAAGACATCATCTTTGACTGAACTCCTCAAAACTCCTAGTTTGCTTGTCTATTAAAAATAGGGCATTTTTAGGCCAGTCCCATTTATCTGTTGCTTTTACATGTCATTTGCTAATAATAGTTCAGCTTTTTAATAAAGAAAACAATTGATTTTAACCTTGAAGTATTCAGTTGTTAATTTACCTTGGAAAGGTGAGAAAACTATGGTGCAGACCTAACGCATTTTCAATACTAGGAGCACCATTATGCCCAGAATGAGTGGGTGCTCAGCAGGCAGTCATTGAGGGAGAGCTATACGGATGCTATTGTCAGTTTTTTTTGTAGCTACTTCCTTTTAAAATCTTTTATGCTACTCAGACTAATTGCAAGCTGTATGTGACATTTATAGTGACGTGCAATTCAATAGTACTCAAAACAAAAGTTCTTATTTGAAAAGGCAGCTGTAAGTCAGGTGCAAAGTCATTAATTTGTGTCAAAAGTATTTTTGTTACCAAAATGATAACAACAAAAATTACCCTACAAAAACCTTCTCTAGCCATTAGAGGTGGTATTCAATATGGAAAGTACCCTGTATGTTTGCCACAGTGACTTCCATCCATTAACATACTCTCTAAAAGAAATAGGATTTTGAATTTGTGTGGTTCAATGAGCTGTGGGAAGAATCCTTTTTCTGGCATTTCCTTGAAAAACAACTCTTTCCTCTGCTTTCTTGCCTTCTTACCTGCAATGTTACTGAGGTTGGTGTATCAGTACTGCAGATGCCAGGGGCAATCATTGTTGTTGTGAGTGTGCTGTACAATGTCATGTTAAGCAGCACAGTTCCATGCACGAGCTGCCTGCAATACACACAGACAAAAGTACCTAATCAGTTCTGGAGACAAGGTGAATAGTTTATTGAAATTACATGAAAGAACATGGAACTGGATAGCTTAAAAGACAAGAAAAAGTACAAACCTTTCATCTTTATGTGGCGAGTAGAAATCTGGCCTACATCAGTGGAGGTTGTACACTGATGGCCCCATGGCTATAGTGGTACTTGTGCAGTTGCAGGGATCATGACACAAATTACACTGCTAAGACATTCTAGGTCAGCTGACTTCCCATGTAACAGAGATTGCCATTTAAGCTAGGTTTAAAACTAGGATAATGCCATATTGCTATCTCAAGACGTATTTTGAGGACAGATATATTAGAGATTGTGAAGTGTCAAAACGCTATATAAGGTGGAGGGTAGCATACATTTATTCTACAAAAAGAAGAAACTCATGGCAACCTACTGCAACCATGACAGATCCTTATTGACTTTACGTGTAGGTGGCAGGAAAGCATGAGTATGAAACCAGTCTCCAAAGAGCTGGAACAAGTTTGAGTGGGATAGTTTGTACCACATGTTCTGCATATGGTTGTTGGACAGATGAAGATTATGGTATGAAGTACCAGTCTAAGCACTGTATGTATAAGTCTTATCAGAAACAGGTCTGCAGATAAGAAACCCATCATGATTAGGCAGTTCAACACAATTCATTCTCAAGACGTTGAGTAAAATTAGAAGGTTTAGGTGTATATTCTAATCGTAACCAATCCACTCAAATTAAGAATGCAGTACCTGAATAAAGGAAGAGACATAATCCAGGCTTACAATTTACTTTGTACACATGTTTAGTGAAGTCAGTAATTTTATTATACCGACTATATTTTTTTACCAAACAAATAGTTTTTATTATGGTCATTCCAAGCACTGCTCAGCCAATACAACAGAGAGAATGAACTAGATTCTCTTCTGCCCATTGTAAAATAACCAGCAAACCATAGAATAAACCAGTCAGGCAGATGAGTTTTCAGTGCATAGATTCTACTTGAGATGAGAATGTTAGAGGTACAAGAGAACCCAGATGGACTTTTGATTCCAGCATGAGATTGCGACCTTGCTGCAAGAAAGTACCTTTTGAATTGCAAACTGAAATAAATAGTCACCAAACTAAGAAATAAGAAACTCCTGCAAAATAATTTCCATAGTCAACACTCAGTGCAAAGCTAACGCAGGGATAATTTTTATTTTTCACTTCTCAAGCTATTCATGTTGTTAGTGCAAACATTTTATTTTATTGTGAGAACACAGCTCAGGAAGATTAAAGGCAAAATAATTTTCTGAAGTTTCTTTTGCAGCTGTAGGTGTATTTGCAAGGGAAGGGAGGCAGAAATAGGAGCTATGATGTTGACAAGCTAGCACTCAGGGGAAAACAGTTGTGTGATATGAAGTCTTTCCCATTTAGGTCACTGATGTGATTATGAAAGTGATCAGCGGTTCGAAGTTGTTTTCTGTGATGTGTACTCAGATGACCTTTCATAAATGAGTCGCATCTCTTCAACCACTCCTTTGCCAACAGAGGTTTACAACATAACTTGAACTAATTGGTGCTTTTGTTAGAAGGGAGAAGAGTAGCTGAGAACTGAATGAACATGAAGACTAAATTATCCTTTTGAGATCTCATTACTGCTAATCACTTTCATATTGTGCTCTAAAACTACAGGGGGCTTTAAAGAAGAATCCATAACGTGGATTTTTTTTTCCCTGGAAAACCTGTATAGGAAAGTAAAAGAAGTAGCACAGACCTCAGAGGCACTGTAGATGTGTTTAACTGAGAGATTTCCTGAGCTCAATATTTCAACTCATTTGCACCCAGTGCAATGTGGCTGAAGACTGTCCAGGAAGACAAGGAAGAATTGGCATGTGGGCTTCTCACGGTACTCAGCTGGAGATACAGCAAGGAAAGCAATGTGTCTTTGTTGGACTGAGAAGACTTCACATCTTAAAACAGATGGCAGAACTGTGACTTAAACCAAGAACATTAAACCACTTTGAGAGCATAGAGATGATATCTGGTAAGAAAAAATGAATTAGTTTTAAAAAGCAGACACATATTTATGGCTTGTATATAGTGTAGCATAGGCTACACATTTACAAATAAGTGAGCAACTTACGTGTCTCCTACTAGTAAATCACTCTTTGCACTAAGGCCAGCCTGAAAACACAGGAGGCATTTTTAAAAAGATGGAAAGGGGCACCAGTACCTGTGAAATATGGTGCATATTTTTCAGACATATCTTTCCCT